CTCAGCACTGGTCCTGGAGGGACCTGGATTCCCTGTGTTTCCGGTTGCTATCTCTACCAATGTACATCCTCTGGTCTAGCCAGATTTGCAAGGTAGAATTGGGATCATGATAGTGGGGGGGTTAAAAACAACAGTAAAGAAACCATTGTCATTGAGTCCATTCTGATTTATGGTGTCTGTGTGCAACAGAACCAAACTACTTCATAAGATTTTCTTCCTGGCATACAGGGGTGGGGAGCCTTTTGTGGGCCATTGGATTCTTATAACATCATGCGTGGGCCATACAAAATTATCAGCTTAAAAGTTAGCCCGCTATATTTGGTCAAACATTGAATTAACACGCCCATAATGAGATGGGTGGACCTGCTTCGCTTTGCTGAGACACGGTGGTTAGCTGGTTTCTATGATCTCGAGGGCCTTATATAGCCTGTGGGCCAAAAGTTCATCATCCCTGTAGTGTAATCCCATGGAAGCCAATCTCTAGACCTACCTTCTGTGGTGCTTGTGGATGGACTGGAACTGCCAATTTTTAGGCAGTTGTCAAATGCCATCTGAGAATGTGAAGGCCTGTATGTTGTTGTTGACTTTTGATGCCTAATGACCCTATGTGCACAGAATGAAACACTTCTCTGTGCCATGGTTTAAATGCTGTACTTTTGGTTTGAATTTCACTTTGGGGAATGATTTTCCTGAAACATGTTGACTCTTGTTAGTATATAAAGGATTTCTACCTTAACTAGAAAGGGACTCTCCTAGGACTTCTTGAACTGCTACAAACCTTCTTTATAATGAGACGCTGAAATGAGCAGAATTTTGAGGGGAGACTTGGGTCGCTAGTCATTATAATTCACATTTAACATCAGGGTATACATAAACATACAACAGAGTAGTAACAAACAGCTCCTCTGTACTCTAATGAAAAATGGAGTGGCTTGGAAATGTTAAGTAGAAAGATGAATAATACATTTATTATACTGCCCAAGAGTAGATGCAAAATAGAATTATTATACACTACACTTCATACTTGTTTAGTATCTAATAACTACAAAATATTGAAGGAATTAGACCCGGAATAGTGCTGTTAGTGATGATCATAGTTTACATTATCTGCTTTGAAAATGAATGCCTAGAAGCTTTTTCGACCTTTCTCGGTAATATTTAACTTCCCAGCTAACTCTCCCCTGTCAGTTTCGTGATGGGTTAGCAGGTACCTTAATTGGATGTTTTATTTCAGGCTCTCTGGATGAACAATTCCTGTTTAATCACTAGAAAGGCCCCAGAGAAGCAGTAGAACCTCTGTTTATTATTCTCCATGTAACTACACGAGGTCTGTGATATTTGTTTAGTTTTGAATTAACTCCATAAAAACAGTACCAAAGAGGGAGTCCCATTCGATGTATTTCACCTAGTATTCTTAATAGCCAAAAAATAGACTATCATTAGTAAGTACTATGATCTACCATAGTTTATTCATTTTAATATAAATTTAAGTTCAAGTAAAAAAAAATGTGGTTAAAGTCCTATCCTTGACGCTCTACTTTTTAGAACTAATTTATTTTTGTTGAAAATTTACCCAGAAAGACATGTACCAATTGAGCATTGTTTACATGTATGAGTAGAATTCAGTGACATTAATCACATTCTTCCAGGTCTGCACACATTTCACTCTTTCTGTCTGAATTGTATCTTCCCCATTAACATACAATCCCTGCTGCCAAGCTTCTGAGCGGACCTTTAGAATGGTTGTTTTCAATGTTATCTCATATATACAGTGCTTTATATTGTCTACCATTTTAAGCAAACTGTTCATCAGTTCAAAACATATTAAATATTATTTTGACAGTGGATTGTTTTGATTTAAATCTATATTTGCCATGCATTACATGTTTATTATGGTCAGGTGCTGTTGAGTGCGTGCCAGCGCAGGACAATCCTATTCAACACAGACCAAAACACTGTCTGGCCCTGTGCCACCTCACAACTGTTATGTCTGAGCCCATTGTTGCAGCCACTGGCTCCATCCATTTTTTGTGGGCCCTCCTCTTTTTCACTGACCAAGCACCGTGTCCCTTTTGCCAGGGACTGTCTCTCCTGATAACAGGTCCTCCGGATGAGGGGCAGTCTCATTGTCCTCCATCCTCAGGAGCATTCTTGGTTGTACTTATTCCAAGACAGATACGTCGAGTCTTCTGGCATTCCATGGGACTTCCCATATTCTTCACCAGAATCATAATTCAAATACATCGATACTTCTTTTGTCATTTTTATTCAACTTTCCCATACATATAAGCTGGTTGTTTATTTATTTATTTTTACATAAAAGGTGATTTGAGATACCTTGCCTTGAGTCAAGAGCACCTGTGTCCTCAGAGCGGTATGCTTGCTGCTTCTGAGCTTGCTAAAAGTGAGGAGGCCTTGAAGCATTTGCTGATGAAGATTAAGTATTGCAAGCTGCAATATGGATTTCAGCTCAATGTAAAGACGATCAATGTCCTCACAACTGGAAAGAAGATGAAAGTTGTCAAGGCATTCGCATTGTTTGGATTCACAATCAATGCTCAAGGATAGAGCAGCCAAGAGATCAGATGATATTGCATTGGGTCAATCTGCTGAACAAGACTTCCTTAGCGTGTTGGAAAGCAAAGAGTTTACTTTGAAGACTCAGGTGCACCTGACCCAAACCACGGTATTTTCAATTGCCTCCTATGCATCTGAACGTTGGGCATTGAAAAAGAAAGGCAAAGAAAAAGCAATGGATTTAGATTGTAGTGCTGGCAAAGAATATTAAAAGCACCATGAACTGGCAAAATAACAACATATCTCTCCTGGAAGAAGTACAACCAGAATGCTCCCCAGAGGCAAGGTTGGCGAGACTTTGTCCCATGTCTTTAGACATGTTATCAGGCGAATCCAGTCCTGGTAAAATGGGGGGGGCGTGGTCAGCAAAAGGAGGAAAGCCTCAACAAGAGCCATCAGTGGCTGGAACAACGGCTCCAACGTAAGAACACTGGTGAGGCGGAGGCGGGACTGCCGTGCTTTGTTCTGTTGTACATAGCATCCCTACGAGGTGGAAGCGGCTCGACGGCAACTAACCATGACATATATCGCCTATGCAAAATTGGGGGAGTCCTATACATAGGACATCTCATAACTGAAAAATCAATATTGGGCATCAATATGTGAAATCAGAAAGAGCACCATAATATTATACTATTTGCTATTCTGCCAAATAGTAAAATTCCACATGGAGTATATTGAAAAATTGATGACAGAAATGAATGATAGATTTTAATGATGCAATGGTTTCAAAATAGTCAGCACTTGAGAAAAATAATTTGTTGCGAGAACTTAATAGTCTATAAAAATAAGTCAAAATATAGGCATTACATAAACCTTATGAATATGACTAAAGAAACTTTTCAAAAGTCCATTCTATGAACTGGCAATGAAAAACAGCCCCATGGGTTTTCTTAATCCAATATCATGATATTGATTTTTAATGTACAAATAATATTTTTGAGTATTTGAGCCAGATTCTTCTTGTCCAAGTCTCTGTTTTCCATACTCTTTCCAGCAATTCTAAATCAGGACTCCCATTTAAGTTAAAAAAATCCAGCTCTGACAATCAGCAGGAGCGTCTTCCTGAGCCTTGTTTTTAATAAATGCTTCAGGGCACTGGACTTCCGTCAAATCCCAGAATCATATATTTCCTCTTGAAATAGTCGAAACACCTCCCACAACTCCATGTGCTCCTTCTATCTTATTTTATATTTCCTGCATCATTCAATATTTTCCCCATATAATCCTTCAATATGGCAGCTCACAGCTTGAATTTTCTCTTTAATTATTCCAGGTTGAGAGATGCTGAGCACGTTCTATTGGCTTTCGAAGTCCAGGTAGTTTCACATTTCATTATAATATTTTACCTTGGAATCTTGAGCAGCCCTTTGATGTTTCTGATCAGCTCTTTTAGTTAATCATATTTAAATTAAGAGATACCTCTTTCTCTCTGGCAAGTAAAGTGGTTCCGTTTACTACATGTGCTGGACAAAGACAACCAGCCTCATAAAGTGAAAGAAGATGCAATATGAAAGCAGGTCAAAAAGTACTACTAGGGTGCTAGTTCATATTTGCATAGATTCATTATTTTTAAAACCCCACATGTTTAATATACTTCTTCAATTGCTGGGTAGCTGCAGACGAGTTCTCTCAGTATGATACTTGTCCCAGTTTCTGTGCAGAGTTCTAGTCCCTTTAAGTTAGAGTACCTCTAAATTTTAAAAGGATATATTTTTTTAATGTTGTGTGAAAATAAGACAGCTCATAGAGTTGATCTTTCAATCAATCATTTCGGCAAGATAAAAGCAAATGATGGAACTTTTATTAAATGAATAGCAAGCAGTGATGTGTATTGGATTTACCAATGCAATCCAGAGAGCAAGGTCCAATCAGAACAATGGCTTTCTAGGAGATGTACTGAGCCAGTTAAACTCAAGGCAGAGAGAAAAGCTTAAGAAGTGGTGGTGGCTGATTTTTTGCTGTTCCACAGGGATAGTCTTGATAGATTTTGTTTTAGATTTTTGTTTTGATTTTTAAGAACACAGATATCAACACAGGGATTCATTAGGAAGGTGTTTTAAGAAAACTGAAAACTGCATTGTTGAGAAAAGGGCAGGAAAAAAAAAGGTAGGTACCCCCTACCCTGCCCCTTATGACAATGCGCCTACTCATTCTTCCAAAGCAACAAGGCTTTCCCTGTGTGAATTCCATTGAGAAGCCTTACCCCGTCTACCCTACGACTTGATCTTGCCCCTCGGAATTTCTTTTTCCTCCCACAACTCTAAAAACGTTTCAAATGAACACGATGGGAGTCCCCCCTGCCCCCAAAGCATGCCAAGCTGCCATTTAGACACGGTCTACCCTGAAGCGTGCATAACTCTTCAGGGAAGAGCTAAAGATGGAAACAGCGCCTTCAGAATTGTAGAGACAGACAAAGGATATGGGGCAAAACATTCCTTTCCCATTTTGGCACTTTCATTTAATGAAGATTTCTATGATTTTATAGCAATACATGCTGACTTACGTACGTAAAACTAGAACTACATTCCCAAATAATTCACCTCCTCAGTCCCATGCACGGGACAGTGGACAACACTAGTCAAAGGAGCTCTTGCCCTCGCGCTCTTCTCTCTGGAGTGCTGGGCTCCCTGCTCTTCCGCTTTACTTCAGAGAAAGCCATCTCCTAAGGACACTGTCACCCAGGTGACTCTGCCTCCTGGCCAGCCTCTGCGTGTCACTGCAGAGCTCTGTCCCTCAGGCTTTTCACGCTGGGCTTTTCCATGCCAATCACCAGGGGTTATTTTCCCAACTTGCTGTTAGGAACCAAGTGTGTTAGCTGGTTACATGGACCAGGGACTTCCATTGCCAGGCACTCAAAAAACTGTGAGCTGTTTTCTTTCGGGTTTTGTCTTGCTCACTTGATGGTCCCTGCTGTCCTTTCCCTGGTCCTGATAAGGTACAATTCTGCCAGAAATGTTTTCCCCTCTGATTTCTAGAGGGTAGTCCCCAGGTGTCCATTCAGTAGATCCAGGTGAAGTCTCCGGTGTATCTTTGATGCAGTCACTGTGTCTGTAAATACCAGCCATTAGCTCCACTCAAGTGTTTTAAAGCTTCCTTCATACTAAAAGGGGAAAAATAAAGAAAATGTCAAATCATATTCAGTTTGACTTGAAACACATAAAATCTATGTAGCATGAAAGGAATACCATAAATATTAATACTTGTTCTAGTGGCCTTTTGTTTCTACTTTGCATTTCCTCCTACTGAGTATATAATATTTTCATAGTAAAATCTTAGACTTATATTCAAAAGAAGCATCTTGAGAGTTCCGTATTGTGGTTTTCTTTTTACTACATGTAAGTGTAATACGTTTAATAAAAATTTTAAAGTAAATGGTTATTTAAAAAGAAAGAAAATGGTTAAAAAAAACAGTCTTGACATGCTATTTCTGACTTTTGTCAGCATTTCAATTATAATACAATCTGCAGCCTATTATTAAAAATAAAAGTCATATGGACATTTTTTAAAATCTTAAAGCAATAGCATAAAATCTATTTACTTCTTAAGAGGATAAAAAGGATTTTTGATTTAAAAAGATATATAATTATGGGCGTACACACCTTTTTCTGTAAAATGAACAATAGGATTATATTTGTAATTTCTACAGGCTATCATCGTTGCTTTTAAAGATGTTCTCTCTTCCAATTTTGTTCAACTTTTTCTTTATAATGTGGATATATGTTGTTTATTTATGTAACCGTGAGCATCCAGCCTAGGCCACAACTCCATCAGAGAAGTAGAATACTACAAGGGATGAGAAGACATCCTCAGTTCGGTCGCTCCCCACATTACCTCTACTCTACCTAACAGGGTTCTGGTTTTCCTAAAAGAAAATTTTAAAGTAGAATTAAATATAATCAAGAGTGTCTATATTACAGCAGAGTTTGTGGTTGAGTCTGTCGCTTATAGGTGCCTTTTGTTCTCAGACTGAATATAGAAGAAAGAACAACCTGAATCTGAAGGCACTCAGGAATGAATTGACCACTTACTTACCAAACACCATTGCCCGGGGGACTTTCAAGCCTAGTGAGGTCTTCAAGTATGATCTCCCCTTAATTTGGGGTCAATTGATGATGCCATCCATGCAAAGCAAAATTGAAGTTAAACGATTGTTTGAAAAGTCTTTGATAAATTAATTTCTCATTCAACCAGCTGCCTAGAGAATTGATAAAATGATTAGGAAGAAACTAGAATAATGGCTAGCCAAGGATTGAAGGAGACCTTTGAGATAATGAATCTCAGGACAAATAACTACTTATGATCATACTACACATTCATGCATGGAATGAAAGATAATGGAGAATTATACATTTTTATTTGAAAAATTATACCAGTCAAATTCATCTGTCATTGGTACATTCTTAACATATAGATGGAATTATTCATAACATATTGTTTCACATCTTAAAAGATGAAATCAAGCTTTTTACTGTTTACTAGATTTGTTGGAAGGCTTTAAGACAATTTTTTCAGATATCAACTTTTATTATGGCACAAAGGCTAAGAATATTTTTATAATGTACTCCTTCACAAAAAAATCAATTGAGTAAAAGATCATGCAGAAGAAAATTCACAATCACAGCCCAGTACCAGCAGCACCCCTACACATTCCCATCCGTCACCCAAGAGCTTCTGTAGATACAAAGCTTTTTTTTTTTAAATACACCGTACCAAGAAAGAAAAGCTTGTGTTTTCCAGTCTAGCCTGTTGGGGCACCATGCCCTGTCTCCAATGTCCACCCTCATCATTCCCTGGGGATCTTGCTACTCCCCTCCCCTGCTGTTCCGCTGCACCCCCCCCAGTGCTGATACGAAGTCATTAACTCACCTACACAATGTCTATTGGAGGTATAAATACAATTTTTAAATAAGGGAGGAAAAGAATGGAAATGAAATCAGAAGCTGAATGGCAGAAAAGAAGACGGTGGGAGCGCTGTTAGTTGTATAGAATGTGAGATGCAGAGGGAGTAAGGTCCCTGGGTGGTGCACATGGTTTCTTCTGGGCTACCCAGCAGAACCTTGTCCATTGGCACCCAGCCAGATGTGCTGGGGGAGAAAAATCTGGTGATGTGTTTCTATAAATATATATTGTTGTTGGATACCATTGAGTCCATTTCAACTCAGAGTGACCCCAAGTAACAGAGTAGAATTGTCCCATGGGGTTTTCTGGCCTGTAATTTTTCATGAAATAAGATCACTGTCTTTCCATAGCACAGCTGCTGGGTGGATTTGAACTCTTAACTTTTTGGTTAGCAGCCAAGAAGTTAGCTGTCCCAGAAGAACTCTTTCTTTAAAGATTACTCACACACCCAATTGCTCGCTCTCTCATGTAGTCTTATTTCTAATCCTCTGCTTAGCTGATATTTTCCTCATATTTTTTATTACCTGTAAGCTCAAAAATTGCTGTACCACCTGTGCACTGCTGAATCCCTAGGGCCTAGAAGGCTGTCTGACAGGTTGGAGGTGGTCCATGGTATTTTTGAATGGATAATATGGTGAAAATGTCCTCTGTATACGCATCAAACCATTTTCTCTTCTTTTAATTTTACTACTCCACCCACTTTCTTTCACCTTCATCAGCCTGAGGCAATAACCAGTACTGTTTCATAGGGAACTACATTTTACAGCAAAGAAGGTTCATCACATTCTCACTAATATCCTCTTAACACACTCAAACACCTTAGTTTGGGTAGTAGCGTAAGGGCCTATAATAATTTTGAGGCACTATGCCAAATATAATGGATAAATAATACAGACTATGCTACCAAAAAAACCTACATTCAATAAAACTCTGTGGCATTCAGAGTGTCACTGTAGGTTGAAATTTGCTTGGCAATGCATTTGATGCTTTGGGATGCAGAAAGCCACTGAAATTACTTTAGTAGTCTCAGGACCACCACCACTGAATGAGAAGCCTGTCAGTGACAAGGATGTAATGAATCATCCTTACATCCCACTTCTCTGTCATCTGTCATGCGTACACACTCTTCCTCAATACATGTAGCAGCGCTAAGATTTCAGCCTGGACTTATCTCTTCACTCTCTTTCTCATTTAAACAAAACCAATAGTTCCTGCAGTGCCCAAGTCACCCATTCCATGACTTCTGTCATCATTCAGTTTACAACGGACTACCACAGCTATCTCTTTACCTGGACCTGTGAGTACCGGTCTTTTAATGCTATTTACATGTTAGATTTACATGATGGCCTCCATAATTATTTGTGAGTTCCTTGCAGTAAAGGGCTAGGTATTACTCATCTTAGTAATCACAGTGATTTTCAGCATGTCCAGCCATGATGTTGGTAGGCACCATCCACTTGGGTGAGACTTATAGGGACCCTTTGTGCACAGAATGACACAGTACCGAGTGTGGAATCATCTTTCCAATTGCTCTTATGTTTGAGCCCATTTTTGCATCCACTGTGTCAATCCATCTCCTTAAGGGTCTGCCTCTTTTTCATTAAACCTGTTTTTTACCAAGCATACTCTCCTTTTGCAGCGACTGCTTCCTCTGATGGCATGTCCAAGGTGCAGGAGACAAACTCTCCCCATCCTTGCTCCTGATAAACATTTGCTTGTTCTTCTGGGAGTCCATAGTACTTTCGATATTTCCACCAATGCCATAATCTTAAGGCATCTTCTTTATTCATTGCTTAGCTTTCACATACATATGAAGCAGTGGGAAATACCTTGGTTCATGTCAGACTCACCTTAGCCCAAGAAGGGATATGTTTGCTCTATAACACTTTAACGAGATCTTTTGGAAAAAATTAGCCCAAGATGACACATCATCTGATTTACGGACTGCTGTTTCCATGAACATTGAGTGCAGATTCAAATTAAATAAAGTCCTCGAGAAATACAATTCTTCTCATTTATCATGAAGTTGTCTATTGGTCCAGTAGCGGGAGGATTTGGTTTCTTTACATTTACTGGTAACCCATACTGAAAGCTGTATCCTTTGATTTTCATCAGTTAGTATTTCAAGCCCTCTTCACTTTTAGCATTAAGATAGTATCATCTTCATATCATTGGGTGTTCATGAGTCTGCTTGATGCCATGTTCTTTTTCCATATAGTTTGGTTTCTGAGATCATTTGCTCAACATGTAGGGTAATTATGATTTAAAAGTCATCTATTTTGAATAAATGACTGTCTCCTGTTCTTCATACAGGTTCCACATGAGCACAATTAAGTATCCTGGAATTCTCCTTCTTTCCAATTTGATCCATAGTTTATTATGACTCACAGAGTTGAATGTCTTTCATAGTCAATAAAAAAACAAGTAAACCTCTTTCCAGTATACTCTGCTTTCTGTCAAGTTCCATCTCATCAGCAATGCTATCTCTCATTCCATTTACTTTTCTGAATCCAACTTGAATTTTTGTTGTACTGCTGCAACTGTTTTTAATTATCTTTAGCAAAAATTTACTTGCATGTGATACTAATGATATTGTTTGATATTTTCCACACTCGATTGCATCACCATCTTTGGCACAAACATGAACATCCTCCAGTCTTTGGGCCAAGCAGCTATCTTTCAAATGTCTTGGCCTAAACTAGAAATGTGTTTGTTGAAACATTTCCATTGGTATTCCCTCAGTTCTTGGAGCTCTGGCTAGTACCAATACCTTCCATGGGGCCTGGAATTTCTCCTTCAATGCTATGAATTCTTGATTATATTCTACCTCTTGACGTGGTTGGATGTTGACTAATTCCTTTTGGAGCAATGGCTCTGGAAATTCTATCTTCTTTTGATGCTTCCAGAAGCGTTCAATATTTTGCCCATAGAATCCTTCAATATTTCAATTCATGGTTTGACATTTTTCTTCAGTTCATTCACCTTAAAGATTGCTGAGCATGTTGATCCCTTTCCATTTTCTAACTCTAGATCTTTGCAATGTCAGAACGCTTTGCCTTCTGAAGCTGCCTTTGGAATTTTCTGTTCAATCCTTTTACATCATTAGTTCTTCCACTTAAGGAAGCTACTCCAAGTTCAAGAGTTCCAGAGTCTCCTCTTCCACCCATTTTGGTGTTTTACTTCTTTCCTGTCTTTTTAGTA